TAGGAAATTTTTCTGGATATCTCGGTAGTGTAAGTTAGCCGTCGACCTGATGGAAAAACTAACAGGTAACACTGACTAAACTCGACTGACAACAACAATTTACTTGACTCTAGCTCTTTATAGCAGACTTAAAAAAAAATGACAAATGATGGCAACCTTTTTTCTTTTCTTTTTTTTGTCAAAGTGATTTGTGCTATACCTCACTTGAAAGAGGACAAAATTAGCTTTTGAGAAAAAATATATTTTGCCTCCAAAAATCCATGGATATTAAATCATGCTAAGAAAATGGCATACAATTTGCATAATTTATCGTACAACTTTTGACTTTGAAACAGCCTGGATGGATTGAAGTTACAAGGAAACAGGGACAAATGAGATAATCAACCTCAAAATACATAAAGCGCAACATATGTCGAAAGCCTTTAACTTGCAATGCACCACCAGTATTTTTCAAGAGTAAAACAATTCAGAAGTGAAACCGCAAACTGTCGTTTTATGTCATTCCACTCAAGTAGAACCACATCTAAAAAACAAACAAAACATATAAGATAATGTACAGGTCGATATATATACAACTATCGTTTTAAAAATAAAAGATTTTATTTGATATAGTTCGGACGCACACTGCGTCATTCGATCTGTCAACGGCTGATAATTTAGGCCGTTGCGTTCTAACATTCCATCGAAGATTATTTTCTCTGTCGCTTGAAATCATGTTTGATCACAAAATATATTGCTTTTCATTCACAAATATACATTTACCGGTTTGTTTTAAGGCAAAAAACAATTCGTGCGCGAAAAGTAAAAATAAATGTTTCAACACCACATCCGTCACGCATTTAAATATCGCAAGAATGTTTACAGATTACTTACCTCGATTCTTCGCTAGGATTTTCCAGTTTTCTATCTAATTCGGATTCCTCACCACTAGAGATACCACCATGCATACTTCCATCGTCAAAAATCATCTCTAAAGCCTTAGCTACGCTGTATCTCTAGCGTTTCGCATTGGACGCCATCACCGCTGATTGAGATCATACGCAAGTGATTTTCGGATCGGGCTCCCGAGGTCACGTTTGATAGTTCGGAGCTAAAACTCGCCATGTGATTGGCTTAGAATGTTTACTAGCTACAGCCGGAATTTCAGAGCGATCGGATGTAATTCGAGCATTTCCGAAAAGGTCAACGCCATCGTGCAATTTTGCACGACCGGCCTCAGGGCTTGACCACGAAGAGCTAGTCGTGACTTTAACTCAGGTTGTCGAAACTCCAGTCATCACTGCCGACAACAGTCCTTCTCAGGACTTCACTCACCCGAACGATCAGACTACACGATCAAAGCTATTGAGTGTAATCTGATCCTTTCGGTAAGGAGCTTACCGCCTTCTCATTTTGTCCGAATCTGTTCAAACGCCCAAAGAATCTTTCACGATGAAGCTATACAGGGTATATGTACTAAGATTCGGTACATTTTTTCTCAGTTTTGTTGACCAGGCCTGACAAAGTCGTTTGTCGCAATATTCGCATCTTTTTTAATCTTGTAGAGGGTAACTTCCTAATTTGAGTCAGGGTTTGAAGATGCAGATGCGTCCCTTCCCAAACTTTCCTTAAACATTCCTTAAGTTAACCCTCGTTGACATTCTAATAAGAAATAAAAACGCTCTCTGGTTAAAAATATGCCTAAAACTTAGAGAGAGAGAAAAACTTATTTCCCTTGTTGTTTCTTTAGGTTCCTTGCTTCGAGCAGAACTAAAATGCCGCGAAACGTTGTTGGTTCTTAAACTTGAAGGATGGCAGAGAGCATTGACGGTCGCGAGGAGAGCGAAAGAGTCGCTTAGCAAAGTGCAGAAGGAAACTAAGAGCACAGATTCCTTTAGGTTGACCAAGAGTTCCTACCTGTTCTCTTGGGGTGAAGTATATTACAGAGCAGGGAATATGTCAAAGTCACTGAGGATTTTTCACAAGGCGCTGAAGATAATGGAAAATGAACTTCACAGCCATACAAGCACTTCAAGGTGCTTAAACGGCATTGGAAACTGCCACAACAAGCTAGGACAGTATGACGAGGCCATAAAGTACTACATGAGAGCATACGATATGAGACAACAGCTCTCTGGCTCAGTGAAACATTTTGACATGCCCTTCTTCAAAGGACAGATCGGGACGGTTTATGAAGGAAAGAAACAATTTGAAAAGGCAATCGAATACTACAAAGAAGCCTTAGAGCTCGCTAAGGAACTAAAAATCCCAGGCATGGTGAACACTGCCCAGTACAATCGAAACATTGCTAATGCGTACTGTTGGTTGCAAAACTTTAAAGACGCCTACCAACCTGCAAAGAACGCTTTCGAGATCCGGAAGGCCATTTTGGGAAGGCACCCTGACACTGCTCGAAGTGCTTTCCAAATGGCGCAGATTTGTCGATACTCGGAGGACTCTGACGCAGCGAAAGAGTTTTATGAGGAAGCATGGGAGATTGAGAAGTCTCTGGGCCAAGGAAACCACAGCGAGGTCATGGTCAGAATCGTTGAGAGCTCCGAAGGGTTCTTTCTTGAAGGAAAGAGGAAAGATCAGTTTCGACAAGAAGTATTCGACTTTTTTCTACGCTACTGGGACGAAGAAAGAGCCTTCGAAGGGTTTGAATTTTCTCTCGC